TCAGGCTTCTTATTTTTTAAAAGAGACAACACATGTTCTTCTCTAGTTCCTTTCTGTAAGATCATCCAAAGATTACCAACTGTAGCAGAGAATCACATCTACCAGTTCTTTCAGGATTCTGGAATATAATTAGTCCAGTCTTGGTGACTTGAACTTTCTGAGAGCAGCTAGATTTTTGACCAATAATCTCCTTCCTTATTTTGGAGTTTTAACTACTGCTCACCATTTTTGTTCTCTCCTTCCCAGTCCAAAGGTAATTCTCCTTAGAAGAGAAAGCAGAAGTAAAAGTGAGAGTTGAATAGGTCACCCTTCTCATTTTATCTATTATCATCATCCATCCACACCAAATAATGGTTCTATCCCTTTTTCTTGACCTCGTTATAGTCTAAATAGAATCATGCTTCTGTGCCAGGTTTGTGGTCTATTTCTCAAATTCATGATCTATTTTTCTCCTTGTGAACAGTGGTGACTGGTAAATACCTACAACACAATTATTTCTGTTTCTGTCTCTATTAATACTCACTCAGATGCTGTTCACCATATTTCTCCCCTAAGGGGCTTGCATTTCCTCACATGAGTGTATATATATATATACATATCTATATATGTGTGTGTGTATGTGTGTGTGTATGTATGTATATGTGTATATGTGTATGTATATGTGTATATGTGTATGTATCTATGTATGTATAATATACAATTCCTCTTTACCTCTCTTACTTTTTGTCTTTTCCATTCATTTGAAATAAGTCATGCCTTCCAGAGCATAGACCAGTGATGGTTTTTATCCAACCAAATGTCATTGATAATTATTAAATGAAATTTTTTTTCTTGAATTAGCATTTTTAGTTCGCCCTTTTTATCACCAGTATATTGTACATTTGCTTATAGATAATTAAGACCTTGGGTTTTATTGATGATTTAATCTTGAATTTTGTCACTTGTAAAATGTTCATCTGCTGCCCTTTGTCCTGTATTGTATTTGCTGCTCTCTGGGATTCCAGGCTTGTCAGATCTATGTAGGCAGTTTTCTCCTTCTCCAATCCCTTTTCAGTTTAGAGTACTCTTGATCATCTTCTAAATACTCCAAACAAATATGTTTTTACTGGCTTTTCTTAGGTACACTCCATCCCTTCCCAGGAGCAATAAGTCCTACATTTAAACTGTAGTGCAGAAAGAATATTTTCAAACTCAATGTTCTCAGCCAGCCACTTCCCAAATCTGTCTTTCTTTTCCTGAATCCCCTACTCCAAGAAGCTGTAGCATGCATAGCAACCACACCCCAATAAAACTATGTTGGCAGATGGACATTGAGGGTAATCAACAGAACTCAAACCCATCGGTGAATTAGGGGGATGTCTACACCAAGCACGTGAAGGATTTCCCCTGGCACAGTGGGCAGATGAGAACTACTGATTCCAGTGGCCATGAAGGCAGCTGAAATAGGCCCTGTGGAGTACTTAGAGCTTAGTTAGGCAACATAGATGCCACTGCACCCCGGGCCATTACCAGTCATCCTGACTGAAGTGCAAGAATGAGGCTGATGATCTTGTACAACTCTACCTCGCTTAAATCCAATTCACAGACAAGTCAAGACATCACCCCATGATGTCATTGGTCCTCTTCAAAAACAGAGGACCAATGAAAACAAGGGACCTAAAATTAACAGTAATGATGAAAATAGCCCTTGTTCCCACCCCCCACCACATCTTCAGGTTTTGGTTTGGTTTTTTTACCGGAACTTGACAATCCTTGACAATGATTCTCAGGTTCCTTCTCATGGCTTTATTTGTTCCAACCTGAAGGACCACAAACGAGGGCTTTGATAGTTTTGACAGTGTTTGACAGTTCATAGAATCATTGTTTTAGCGCTGAAATGGATCTTAGAGGTCATTGAGTCCAACCCTCTGGTCTTACATACAAAAGAATGGAAGTGTAGAGAAGTTAAATGATTTGTACAGGATTACAGAGCTAGTAAACATTTGAGTCAGGTGTCACAATCTGTATCAGAGGACAGAGAGAGTGCTTGTCCTAATGAGATCCCAGATCCACTTAGGTCAGGAATATTATGGAGAAGGGATAGCTCCTTCTCCAGAGTGGACAGGTAGGGCTGCTGGCATTTCACTGTACTGTCCCTCTTGGTCAGCCACATCTGTGCCAAGCCTCGGTCTCAGCTCTCATTTTAGTGGTGGCGCTCATCCCATCTGGTTAATCTTTCCATGCTCTTCACCCCAGAATCTCGGCTTCAGGTTGGTATAATGGAAAGAGCGGGAGTTGGAGTCAAAAGACCCAGGTTTGAGTCATGGCTCTGACATTTACTAGCTGTGTGTCTACAAGATAGTCACTTCATCTAACTGATCTTCAATTTCCTCTTTTTCTAAAATGGGGTGAATAATACCAGACCTGCTTTTCCCTATTGTGAAGAAAGCATTTTGTAAACCTTAAAGTGCAATATGAATGTGAGCTGCTATCATCTTCGTTATCCTCATTTCACTGCATTCATGTGTCTGGGAAAACTGGGATTCCTCTAACCCCAAATTATAATCAGTGCAATGACCAACCACAAGCCCAGAGGACTCACAATAAACTATGCTGCTCACCTCTAGATAGAGAAGTGATGGACTCAGAGTATGGACTGAGGAACTTTTGGTGAGGCTGGTGGGGAGACAGGAGGAAACATAACCAATGGGGCAATTTGTTTTGCTTGACTATATGTGTTGTAATGGGTTTTGTTTTTCTTACTTTCTTAGGGGGAGGGGGAGAGGTAAGAGGAAGTGAAAATCTAAAAATGCTTTTTTTTTAATAAAAATGAGTTGTAGGTGATGGCTCCATGATCCAGGACTTTGGAGTAAGGAGCTAGACAAGAGTTGAGGAGGCTTTCATGGATAAGGAGCTATAGGGAACTGGGAGAGAAGGCACCGGTCCTCCAGGGGAATTCTTCAGCTTAGTTGATTCCTGGTCACTGATTTTGTTTGGTTGGTTTTGTTTTCTTTCCTTGGCCCCAAAGACTGTGGCCTAAGATTGGACTGTCTGCTTTCTTTTCCACTGCCTTCGCCTGTCACTTCTGACCAAGATTTCCCTCCCCCAGACCATTCAGACCAGAACACAGCAGGCTCTCAGCTTCTTTCCTTCCCTTCTTTCCTGAAGCAAACATATAACAGTCCCTAAGAATTGTTTGCTGATGCTAACAATAGGAAAACTGATAGGAAATAAAAAGATTCTCCCTTCTCATTTTCTAGGCAAAGAAAAAAGGCACACATAATTCATAAATAATGGATCTTTGGGCACACAAAGGACTGGAGAAAGATTCACTAAAATATATATTTCGAAGAAAAACCAGATCCAGGGTATTCTAGATATTAAGTCACAGAAGGTGAGACTCTGGAGCAAAGTTCAGGGAAGGATTGGTGAGATGGGCTGAATGCTGCCTCCAGAAAGAAAGTTTGGACTGAGGAATGAAGCATTTACACTCTACCTTGTCCTTAGCCACCAAATCCTACCTTATGCTAGCTGTAGTGGGAACTGAGGAGCAGAGGTTTTAAGTCATCCCAGGAAGCCGAGAATGAAAGAAAGGGAAGAAGAAAATCCAAGAAAAAAAATACAGGAGTGTAGGAAGAACAGAGGAAGGATGTGGTCTTATGCCATTGCCCTCGGACAGCCAGCAAGTTCTCAGTTGCCTTTCATGTGTCAGTGATATATGTAAATTGGGGGTTACCTGTATCTATACATTTGTACAGAGTTTTTTATGAGATGGAGTATTAACTAAGATGTATTGGAGCCAGCCCATACCAGTTCTTGTTAAACTGCTTGTTAACTTTTAAATGTGAGCTTTTACACCTCAGAAACCAGCAAACACTACAAATCAAGACTTGATTAATTGTATCGTTGATTTCTAGACCTAAGAAAATGTTGGAAAGAATATTTGTAATGCTAGTTAAACTTAAAAGTGTGCCATGCTTACTTTTTTTTTGGCTAACTGCTTATTAAACATTTACCAGCATATCCTTGGTTATACATACATAGAGTGGAAGTGTATATATTCATATATATGTACATGTGTAGAGGCAGCAAGGCATAATCAGTTTCCAAGTGAGTGATTAATTCTTCACTGTTAGAAACTAAATTTAAAATTGGATATTCTGTTCTAGATCCAATATAGATCTGGTAAGATAAGAAGATTTTGTTTCCATCACAAAGAGAAAGATTGAATATCTACATCTGCAATATATTTTATATATTTTTTAGTTTATGGAATAAAACAAGCATTTCTATAACAGTTTAATTAAAAAGATGATTGTACGTGAAACTGCAAATCTATGTGTAATTTGTTATTCCTTCTAAATATACAACAAAGTTATCATGTCAATTTCTTTTTTTTCTTCCCTTCCTCACCCCTCCCAGAGATAGCCACCATTAGATACAAATAGGTACACATATGTATAATTTTTCTATACATAATCTTGTCAGTTTTTTTCTCTAGATGCATTAAGCATCTTTCTTCATATGTTCTTTATAGTTAATCTGGGTATTTATATAGTCAAAAATAACTTAATTCTTTCAAAGTCATTCTTAAAACAATATTGCTGTTACTGTGTACAATGTTCTCCTGGTTCTGCACATTACACTCTTCATTATTTCATGCAAGTCGTTCTGTGTTTTTCTAAGATCATTGAGCTCATCACTTCTTATAGCACAGTAGTATTCCATCGCAATCATATACCACAACTTGTTCAGCCATTCCCCAATTGATGGACATACCTGCAATTTCCTTCAATATTTTTAAAGTGTAATTTTTCTTCCTGTGTGATAAAAAAATTTCAAAACAACAAAGTGACTAAAGTTAAAAGGAAATAGGGAATTATGTTAGCAAGACATCTGGGTGGTTTTCCCCTAAATAGTGGGATGCTAATATGAGCTATGTAGAGAATAAAACAAAATGTTTATTTTGACCAGTGGAATGTCCAATGATTTTTTGACTTCTACAACTACTTGGTTTGTAGGCATATCATGAAAACATGTTCGGCAGCAAGTATCAGTGGATCATTCCTGGCTGGTATGAGCCCTCCTGGTGGGAACTGGCACATTCTGAAGGCAATCCATCCCCCTGCCTCAGCAAAAATCTTCTGGCGGCCATGGAAGGTTATATCGGAGTGGATTTTGAACCCCTCAGTTCAAAAGAGATCAAGACCATTTCAGGAAGGGTTGGTATCTTTGTCATTCTAAATTTCAGCTGCTGGACATCTTTTTTTCTTGTTTTTAAATATTGTCACATATATTGATATGAGGACACAAACTGTTGAAGTGGAGTTACTGATTCCATTGTTGCTCAGAAGTATGTTTGCTGTTCATCTACTTAACATTCGTGAAATATTTTAGAGACCAATCAAAAGTTTTTTAACCTTATTTGTAACCCTGAAAGTTTTTGATTCAATGGACCTTCATCTACTAGGCTCTGTGGAACCTAGGAAAACAATGCAGGGATGTAGGCATAGCTCATATAATGTCAATAGTCAACAAACATTTATTAAGTACCAACTATGTGCCAGGCACTATACTAATAATGCCCTTATTTGGTTTCACTGCTTTTGGCAACATCACAGTTTTAGAGGAAACAACATCACCAGGGATCATATTAGGTCCATAGGAAAATTGCAGGGCAGGGGCAGCTAAGTGGTGCAGTAGATACAGCTCCCGCCTTGGAGTCAGGAGGACCTCAGTTCAAATATGGCCTCAGACACTTGACAACTACTAGCTGTGTGACCCTGGACAAGTCACTTAACCCCTACTGCCTCACCAAAAAGAAAAAAAAAGAAAAGAAAATTGCAGGGCAGAGTTGAGGCAGAGACACTTTTGGGACATATGAAAGCTACCTTAATGTGGAGAAAGCCCATAGGGAATTGAGCAGATACCAGGCAGGGTACTGAGCTCAGCTACTCTCAAGAAATTGACCTAATATGATTTTCCTGAGATAGGGGGTGAGGGGTAGAGGGAAGGGTTGGATGGAATCACTGTAGTGGAAAATGGTCATAACATTTTAATGATATTATTGCAAAATGACTAGAAGCTGTTGGTATTACACAGATGGAGTTAACCTATATGTCCCTTAAGCACCTGAAACTCAACATGTCCAACTCAAAACGTCCCCCAGAACCCACCCATCTTTCAGACTTCCCTTTCACTGCCAAGGGCATCACCGTCCATCCAGACATCCAGGTTGTCATCTTCAGTATCACTCTCACCCCACATATCCAATCAGTTGCCAAATTTTGGCATTTCTTTCCCCATATCTCTAGCACACATCTCTTTCTGTCCTTTCTATCCACCACCCTTCTCTAGGGCCTTCAGCAGCTTCCAAAGTGATGTCCCTGTCTCATTTCTCCCCACTCCAATCCACTGTCCACACAGCTACCAGTGATTTTCCTGAAGAGCGGGTCTGATCGTGTCGCTCCCCTACTCAATAACCTCCAATGATTCTTTATTACTTCTAGAATCAATTACAAGCTAAACCTTTCACAGCCTAGCCCCGTCCTGTCTTTCCATTTTTTTATACATAACTTCCCTCCACAATCTCACCAGTCCATCAATACAGACTTACTGGCTGGTCTTCGTATACAATACCTCATCTCCCATTTCCTTTGCAATGGATGTCCCCCATTCCTAGAATGTTCTCCCTTCTTACCCCTACACCTTTGGAGTCCCTAGTTTCCTTCAAGACTCAGTTCAAACACCACTTTCTGCACTTCCTTCCTCACCTTTCCAGCTACTACTGCCTCTCCCTCTGAGGTTATTTTCCATCTACTCTATAATGTATTCTGTATATATCTATTTGTGTACATGTTGTCTCCCTCATCAAATATAAACTCCTGGAGGGCAAGAGCTGTTTTTACTTTTTCTTTGTATCCCCAGTCCTTACTAAGGCACCTGGCACAAGGTAAACTCCTAACAAAGGCTTACTGATTGATTGCCAGTTTACACAGTCATTAATCCCTGAGGCAATGTGGTATAATGCCTTTGCATAATCCATTGGATTATGACCTAGAAAACTTGAGCTCTAGTCCTGCCCCCTTTCATTAACAGGTTTCTGATTTCAGGACATCACTTAATCTCATCTCTCAGTGATCTCACTGATTTGTTGTGATGATCAGATGGTTTAATGTGTGTCTGGGAAAGTACCTGGCCCATAGCAGATGTTCAATAAATGTTTGTGGAGTGGAAAGTGATTTGAAAAGTACCTAGGACTTTATACATATTCAGGGTAAAGCCAGCCTGATGTAAGGGGGAAAGGTCTGGCTTTGGAGTCAGAGGAACTGACTTGAAGTCCTTGTTCGGTCATTTATTACCCACTTGACCTTGGTTGAACCTCTTTAATCCTCAAGTTCCTCATTTGTAAAAGGTAGAGATTGAACTAAATGGCCCCTAAATTCCCTTTCAGCTCTAAATAGGTGATTCTGTGAGTGAGATGATGATTATACAGAAGACATTGTTCCTTCAGAAAAAATGCTGAATTCTCTATTTTAGTCTAAACATTTTGGGCTTCCTAACTACTACCATAGTAGAGCGCTGGCTTTGGTGGAAGACCTGGGTTCAAGTCCCAGCTCTGACACATACTGGCTGTGTGACCCTGGACAAGTCACTTAACTTGTCTCTGGACCAGTGGTGGTAAACTCAAATAGAAAACAGGGCCACTAAACCATATAAGCCTCCCTGCTGGCATCATATTGACTTAGAAAACCACATCTTGACATTATCTGTTTTCTATTGTATTTCTATTTTGTTAAATATTTTCCAATTATATTTTAATCTAGAGGATTGGGAGGGTTGTGGGCAGCATGCAACCTGTTGGCCACATGTTTGACACTTCTGGTCTAGACAACTCTCTAAGATTATAAGTAACAGCGAGTCAGTCTTTATTGTTAGCAGTTTTCTCAACTGATGCAATATTTCTCCCTAATTCCAAATAGTGCATCATGCTTTTACTAGCTATGTGACTCTGGGCAGGGCCCTCTCAGCTTCACTTTTTTCATTCGTAAAATGAGGGGATTTTCCATCTCTAAATGAGTAATGAACTTTCAACCACCAGGCTCTGTGGAACCTCAGAAATCAGTGTGGGAATGTGAGCATAGCTCTTAGAATGTCAATAGTGAATAGTCACTAAACATTTATTGAGCACCTACTACGTGCCAGGTACTGTGCTAATGGCCTTAATTGGTTCCACATTTCTGGAAAATGAGGGGGTTGGACTTGGTGGTCTCAAAGGTCCCTTCCCTTTCTAAATCCATGTTATGTCCTGGGTTCAAAATCCCACCTCTGCCTCTTTCTACCTTCGTGACCTTGAGCAACCTCCTGTGCCTCAGTTTCTTTATTTGTAAAATGATGGGGTTCCCTATACAAATTAAGTCACATGTCCAAGCTCTATCCTTGTTGTTGTTCAGTTGTTTCAGTCATGTCTGATTTCCTTGACTCCACTTGGGGTTTTCTCAGCAAAGATACTGGAGTGGTTTGACATTTCCTTCTCCAGCTCATTTTGCAGATGAGGAAATTAAGACAAACAGGGTTAAGTGACTTGCCCAGGGTCACACAGCTAGTAAGTGTCTGAGGATGGATTTGAACTTAAGGACATGAGTGTTCCCAACTCTAGGCCCAGCACTCTACCTATCTTAACTATCATCAAATGATTTACCATATGCTTAGTTTCCACTTTCAATACAGATCTGGAGCAATAATATTTACATGACCACAGTTTCTCTGCCCTAGCCTTAATGCATTGTGCTCACAATTAGGACCCTTTCATAAATGGAGAAACTCAAGGACTATGTTCCCCTTCCCTGAAGCTATGGGGATCCCTGGCTATGGTCTACTGCCCACAGCCCTCAAGGATATCCCCGAATTACAGAAGAGTAGTGAGAATTCAGCTAAACTTAGCCCTTCAAAAGTCCTTCTGATATGAGATAACCGCACTCTGTATCCAGGCCCCACGAGGGTGGGAGGCAGAGCCCGAGGTGACAGAAGCCTCATAGGAGATCTCCTCAGAGCATCAGCTGTCTCTTTCACCAGCCAATCAACAAGCATTTCATAAGCACTTACTATGTGCCAGGCCTAGCTGGGATGGAGTGAGGCAATCCCAGAGTGTCTGTAGCTGTTTGCACCAAGCCCCATGTTTTCACACTTCTTTCTTGCCCTTTCATTGAAATACCAAAGTAATTTGGTATGGGGAGGATGTGTATGTGTGCATGAAGGCAAGTAGCCTAAAGTACTTCTGGCTAATGTACCATTGCTTAGACATAATAGCTAGCGTTTATATGGTGTTTTAAAGTTTATAAAGAGCTTTAAGAAAATATCTCAGTTTATCCTCACAACAACCCTGGGAGGTTATCCTACTGTGGTTATCCCCATTTTACAGATGAGGAAACTGAGGCTGAGGGTGGTCAAGTGACTTGCCCAGGGTCACACAGCTAGTGTCTGAGTTTGGATTTCAACTCAGGCCTTCCTGAATTCAAGTGCAACACTAAATCCACTGCGCTGTCCAACTCTGCACCGATCTACGAAACCTCAGCTTCATCTCTCATAAAATAGCAACTGTTAATTGCTCTACAGACCAGGGGATTGTATTCACTGTTTTATCATCATGTTCTATTACATTGTTGTCACCCTAAAATACCACCCAGTAACAACAGTTACAGAAAGATTCCACTGACAGAACAATTCACTTTTAATTAATTAATTTTAATTAATTAATGGCTAGCTCCAAGGAGGTCTCCTCCAGACTCCCCTCCACAGCAGGACAACAAGCCTATTTAACTAATTGGTGCTGCTGTTGGTTTCTGGGGTGTCAGTTGACCAGAAAGGGCCAAGATCCTCATCAGAGGGATTTTCTAAATAGAGAAACAGTTGAACCCAGAACGTGCTCTCTAACAGAACTATCCATCCCTTACTGCTACAGTTTTCAGGAAAGATCTGAGGCTGCAATTTGGACATGGACTAGTTCATAGAATCATAGACTTAAAATTAGGAGGGGCCCTAGAGGTCATCTAGTCCAACCCCCTCACGTCACAGATAAAAAAAAACTGAGGCAGAGGGAGGTTTATGACTTGCCCAAGGTTACAAAGGTAGAAAATGGCAGAGCTGGGCTTTCAACCCATGACGTAAGAACATAGATTGAGAGCTGGAAGGGCCCTTGGAGACCACTGAGTTCAACCCTCTC